TACGCAGGTGGTTCGCCAGAAGTTGGACGGATCGATCGATGAGTGATGTGTGTAGGTGTGTATCGCGCAGTTATATCAGTTAGGGGGTCTCCGGCGTTACCTGGGCAGCGTACCAAGACGCTATGTTTACCATTACGTTGCTATACACCTGTAAACACGCTTGCGACGTATATGCTCGCCTCGTACAGGCATTACTTCCCATGGCAAAGTAAGCAGGGGCTCTACTGGTATACCGGCCACTGTACGGAATCACACAAATTACGATTAGTCGCGCACCGACTATTCTTAGAGAAACTCTGGTGTAAATTTATACGTTCGTATATTTTTATGTGTGTTACTTGTGTTATGAATAAAAAAATTTTCTTGTGTATATTAATACGCAGTAAGGACGTGCGTGTACCTTAAGTTGTGAGTGCATATATTTTTAATAACTTTACGCCGTGTATTCAAACATCAAAGTACGAATGTGCGTGGGTAATGTATCGAGTTCTTATCGCTCGCTCTTTTGTAATAAATTTTCATTCTATACTGATATTTCAATTTAATGCCAGCATCGCGTTATATTAAATACGTACATATATTACAAAATTCAATTGTTAGTTGGACCATTTTACCTAAACTTGATACAACTTGGTACCGAAACTCAAAAATGGTTCACTGACTATTGAGAAAAAAGTAAAATTGTTACTGTAACCATACCATAATCTATTATTTTATTTATGAAAAAGTATTATTGTTACAGTGTCATCAGCAAAACCAAGTCAGTAGAATGACTTAACAAATATGTTTTAAAATACTGTACTTAGTCAACGACTGACCTTAAGAGCTATTTATTTAAAAATATAGCAACATTTATTTGCGTTAAACCATACAATTTTAATCAATTAAAAAGAAATTTTGGTATGCATGTACATATTTTATATTTAATTTGCTACAACTAAATAATTTAAACAATACTACAGAGTAATAATTATAGATCAACAAGTTTTAGACATCGTATGATTAATTAAAAAATTTTCAGGCCTACACAGTTTTTCTGCAGAGCACTATATAAATAGACAAACGAATTTTCAATAAGTACATCACTTGAATCGTACAAAACATTAACTTTAACTTCAATTTAACATGCTCTTACAACCTGATATAATACATTATGTAGCGTAAATCCACTATAACAGTGACATTTCAAATGAGGTATACTCTAGACTCATTGATTTTGTCAACCGGCGTATGTGCTTACTCATTACCTTGTACTCCACAAATAGAAATGACATTTTTATTGTGACGATGAACTATATAAATGAATTCTATAGCTGTCCTTTGCAACTAAATTAAATCCGATAGATTATGCGTGTATGCACTTTTTATGGATAAAATTAATTTTTTCCCACGCTCGCTAGCTGATGTTAACGTTAAATCTAAAACGATGGTGATGGTGCGAAAATCAAGCATTTGCGATCCATTCAGGAATAATCAATAATTTTTTTATGTCAACTATAATTCAAGTTGAAATCAATGATTCCTCAAACAGAAAAAAGAAAACCAGTGCATCACAAGTACGAGTATTTGTGTACATTATATACAAAAGAATTGTATTCAGTACATCGGCCAGAGTTTCTACTTTATTGACTACTTTACTTTTGTAAATTTCTTTTAAATAAACAGTTATTTTTACGTGAAACAACGATAAATACCAGCAAACTGGTACTTTTAGGAATTAATTTGTTGCATTCCATTTAGAATTGAACGAGAAATGTTACATCTATATAAATCATGAAAGAGTATACCTAGAGGAGTAGTGAGGTGCACGTAATATTTTAACTTTTCTCATAAAGACACTGAACGAACTAAAATTTGAATAGGACTTTTCAAATATTCAGGAACAAAGCAGATCTTTTCATGGTTTTTTGTAAATATTCAGTTTCAAAACTAAAGGTTTATTTCACCAGTATTACAAACCTACAAATTCGTACACATCAAGTAATTTCATTTTTCAAGTTGAATCTTTAAATAACCCATGAGAAAATTCACGTTTTATTATTTTTTGAATCCTGTTCAAATAACAGGTCGTGCAATGCCTTACTTTGTAAGAAAAGTTGCACTTCACACAATAGGTATCTTTCATAATTGCGAGATGAAATTTTTTTCTCTTTTAAGAAGGTCGACCATACCTTAAGCGATTGACAGCCAGTCTTTAACTAAATTTTGTGCAGAGCTTCAAAAATGTATTTAAAAAAAAAATTTTATGAAAAATTTATGTGTGCCATGCAGTTAAAATGAAAACAATACATTGCTTTTATGATGAAGTACTATTCACGAAATGCAGACTAAACGTACAACTATTATTTGGTTGAGATTTGGCCACAGATTTTGATTCATTAATCTCGTTTTATCGTTATTATCCCACTAATCAATTAGTTATGAATTCCCTTGAACGCCCAAAGTGCAGGAAGTTTATTTAGGTTTCAATTTCGGCAATCAAGTAGTAAGTACTTTTATCATTTTGAATCACAAGCCTCACATACTCATCGAACCAAAATATACTTTTATACTTAGACCTTAGACTCAACGCATCGATGAGTGTGAGTTTTAAAGTATAAGTGTTTAACAAATTACACTATGACAGGGATGAAAACTTGCTAGGATCAATTTGTGTTAAACTTTGATCTAATCTACATAATAAATGAATACTTTTAACTACAGATAAATAAGACATAACTCTATGAAACAAATACGTATACGTAAATACGTAGGTTTCTTCCAATTTACTAACAGCTAGTATACTTTTTCAAGTTTCTAAACAATATTTAGAGATTGCTGAAATTAAGTTACCTTATTAAACCTACTTTATTATTATACAAATATAAGTCTGCATAACATTGTCATACAAAAAAGTATTTTTTTTTTTTTTTCCAAACCACAACTGTTTTACGAAATATTATGTGGTGAAACTATGTAAATTCCTATACGTAAAAATAATACTGTAATTATATTTAATCAATTCTGAGGATAGAATTTTTATTTACTTTATAGGGTACACGAAACAATTATTTGAATTAGCAATTAGATATCTACTATTTTCTACAAGAACATACTACTATTGTGTAAAAAGTCAATTGAGAAAGTATAGGTAAAAAATCTAATTTTTTTTTGTAAAGCTTGTCAGTAAAAGAAATGTGAGTAGAATTTTTTTTTTTTCAATTACAAAACCTCTATAAATTTAAATAATCTAAAAGTAGTTTACCAAGTCGTTATCTCCTGGAGCTCAATCCGATATTAATTATTCCACTTAGTACAAAAACTTTATTACGTATAACGTAGATAAATAATAAAAATATTTGACCAGTCATATCAATGGAAATCAAATTGGAAATGTTAACCAAGACCTACAGTAGACTCTTTAATGGGTACACTTTTGACTCTCCCAAAAATAAGTACAAGTCAGTCCTGCGAAGTAATCGTATCGTATAACGAATAAAGACAAAATTAAGTAGTGTTACTCAGGATTGCGTCAGGCGCATCATAGTAACCTGAATGAAAGCGTACATCGTAAATACATTCGTGAGCATGTAAACACGAGTGTTATGATAAAAATAAAATCGGTTTTAGAATTATTTTTCAGTAAGTAATAGAAAGTGTTTCAAAATTATTTTAATTATACAAAACTCGTATGAGATATTTTCACACATTTTATGAGTTTTCATATAGATATAGCGCCAGAGTTAAAAAAGAAAAAAAAATTTTAAAAAAGATTAACCCGTAAAAATTTATCTCTGCGTACTACCAAGTATAACTAAATACGTACTTAAATGAAAATAGAAATTTTTTTTAATCAGCGAAAAAGTAGCTTGTAAGATGTTGAGGATCGGATAGTATTTGCTTGGAAAAAAAAAAAAAAAAAATGAAAAGTCAAGTATAAAAATAAATACTTAAGAACCCACACAGTCCCACCAGCTAAAATTATTTTTTCTTGTTCGGTCTATCAATCACGAATCGACTACATACAGGACGAAACTGTACACGTATAACCCCCAAATGGACGCTTGGAAGCACATGATCGCACTCGATTAAAATTACCGAGTCGTAATAGAAAAATTTCAGGCAATCATCGATCGAAACCAACCGTAGACAGCTAACTGCAAATACACACCGAGTTTAGGAATAAAAATTGCCCTCGTCAAGTGCAAAATACATGATTCATTATAAGTATCGTACCCACAAACGACGCCTCTAAAATGTAGGATTTTCAACAGTTGAGGTGCAGTAGTCGGTAAAGGACGAGGCGGCAAAGACAGGAGAGCCCAAAAAAGGCCCAAATAAACACGCCTGCAGTGTTTGCTCTCTCCCCGCGTACATCGGCAATGAAGTGGACTACAGGACCGCCTACCGACTTCCCGCTGTCCGACAAGACTTTCCTCGTCATCCGCGAAGACTGTGTGCCCATCAAAGGTGACTTGTTATTACTGTTTGTCTTGCTATCATGTTTTTTTGCGCCTTAAAATATATTGCCACACTCTGTCGAACAACTTTCGGTCCAAAAAACACACACATCAGTTTCGTAACCTAACCTTGCGATTTTATGTGATAGGAACAGACGACGAATGTATTTATTTCTCTCTTGCGTTAGAATTCGGTTTACTTACAGTTTTATCTGTACTACACACGTTTGTAACGCCGGTAGTGCTAGAGCGATTGCTAAGAATTTAGATAAAATCATTTTTTATTTCCAGGCAACGCGAATGAAAATATAAGTTGTATACAAATTGGCAAAAAACTAAAAATTTCGTCGGCTGAAGTAAAAAATGGCAGTCGTTTGATATCCATCCAGTTGCTTATTGACGTGTTATGTGTAAATGGCTTTCATGGAGGTGCGACATGTATTTTTGAATGTGAAAAGTGACCTGTGGTCTCTTCGAGGTGTCCTTTGAGAATTTCATCATTGAAGTTGTCGCATGATATACATATTGCCGAGAATATCATGAGGAGAGCAGCCAGTTAATATGGATGTTCCCTGCAAGTTGAGAGGTTATTTTACTCTTTGAGCACAAAATGAGTTATATTTTTTCAGCTAAGACAAGATTTTTTTATAAGTGGTTTTAAATCTAAGGCTTACCGAATAGATGGCGATAGTCTTGTTTAATCTTCTTTCAAAATCTAAAGAATTACATACGTAAGAGAAATTGAACGAAAAAAATCCCACGCTTTTAAGTTCACCAAAATTGCAAAAATCTATTGGGATTCAGGCTTACTTTAAAAGTCATAGCTTTATCTCCATCGAGCCTTTTGAGATATCACAAAATTTGTGTACGTGCAATAAATCAAATAAAAACTTTTTTTTTTTTCATGAACTTTGTATTTAATGTTACATGTTTAAAAAAAATAGAGTTAGAGTATTACAAAAAAAATCGTGGATTAATTAGTAACGTTTAGACGCGCGTGATGCGAGCTTGTTTAAATTTATTGTGTCGGTGACAAGGTGAAATTTCAAGGTTTACACGACGAAAGGCCTGAATTCCCGAACCACACGGTGTTTGTTTCGAGTGGTGATAATTTTTTTAGATTTCCTTTTTTTTTTTTTTTTNCTAGAAGCTCATCAAATACAAAAGTCTCTTTTCTCGAATAAAAAACTTTCCCCAATTTTTGTTAGCTTTTGAAGGGATATTTTTTGTGGAATTTCTCATACGTGTTTTAATTTATTAATAAATCATGTGTTCTTTAAAAATAACGCAAAAAAGGCCCATCACTCGTTTCGTTCGATGCAAACGTACTTGAACTTGCCCTATCTATGATGAATGTATTGTATGTAAATTTTATAACGGATGATGATGCACTTACGAAGTACACCATGCACAAACTGTACACATTTCCGATGAAATTCTGCATAATACGAGATAATGGATGCCTGACTCTAGACCAGCTATTAGATATTTATCTTTCCGCGCACGAAACAACTACCATCAAGCATTACACAAACGAAAGCTTATTTTTTCAACGCAGTTTATCTTTTTTCTCGCTTTTTTCTTAACGTTAGAGTTTTTAAACTAACTTATTTGTAGAAAAACCTTAGACTTTTTTCTCACAACCAAGTCGAATAATATTTTATTATTGGCGCTTAAAAATTCTCAATAAAATACTGGTATTATTTAAATATTTTAAACAAGTATAATATTTTCTCAATTTTTACAACATAAATATTATTTATCAAACGGTTAAAAATAAATAATAAATATATTAGTTACTAACTGGATTTTACTAATACATGAGCAGAATAAGATGTTACTTGTTACTCTGCACGCAAATACATTATACATTTACGATTTGTTGGACTAAATTGGCTTGTCAGCCGTTGGCATTCAATTAGCATTTTTTTTTTTTTTTGCAATTCTCATTTCACGCGAACTACTTAGAATGTATGTGTGTTAAAAATTTGTCTTTATTTGTCTTGTGCTTGTGAATACTACAACAGATAACTCCAATTTGTGCATATTATATGAATAAAAAGGTATATCAAATTTTATAAAAAAATGTTAGATCATGACAGCTTAAACTTACGTTAAAGAGTAATATTTTTCACCCACGGTTTTCTTACACTCCCGCCTTAGTTGTTCTATATATTAGACATATTGTTTAAAAGTTTTATTTTATTTTTTTTTTTCAATCATTTTAAGTACTTAAGAAATGTAACGTCACAATCGACATAATTCTTCGGATTACACGAAGTGAATTCTTTTTAATTTTAAAAACGAATAATTACTTGTGCCCTCAATATTTCTCCTTAGACATAAAATTAATCATTCTTTCACGCATCGTAACTATTATATAATCATAGCAATTGTGGAATTCAGGCTCAACTTGTATCTGTACTGAATAACAATACTAAATGCGTATAATCGAGGGAAACATATTTTCCAAAGATTAAAGAAACGAATGCCTTTGATGCAGGTAATAAGTTACATTCGAAAAAACGCAATATTCACATAGACGCATGAAACGTGACAGGAAAGATCCCGAAGCCCGGGGAGAAGTCGCTGCAAAAGTCAGAAAGCGAGAGCAACTGCAGCACCAGCAGCAACAGCAGCGGCAGCAGCGGCAGCAGCTTCGAAATCTGGCCCCCAAAGATGCGCAAGAAGCGGCCTCGACAGAACGGCGGCGAGGCCATGTACGAGCGCGACGACCTGGACGAGGAGCCCCGGCCTGCGACCGCCGTCCTCGAGGAGCCTTTGGTGCTCGATCCCCGATTCATCGACAAACTCGACATGTCGCTCCTCAGCAAAGTGAGACTCTTTCGTTTTTAATTATTTCGCACCACGATAACTTGGACAGTTCACGGTTCGAGTGCACATAAGCGGGGGATGGCAATTAAATTATTGCGCGAAAAAAGTAAAAATTAAATCATGAAAAAAAAAATCAAAACATCAACAACGTAAAATGGGAAAAACTAATTTTTAGAATACATAATTAAAGATACGACGTATAAAATCAACCTACATTACCCCTCTGATCTATTGCCGGTTTTGGGTATTGACGATGTTGTTATGATGATAATGGTAATGTTGCTGGTTTTGCTTTATTGTACAGTTGTGGAGAGAAATTCAAGAATAATTTTCTATGAATCTGATAGTGCATTGCGTATTCAACAACATATATGACATTCATAACGTCACCCTTAACTCTCCTTATCAATGCTGTAGGCTGTGTGCCTGTCTACGGTACAATTAAAGTAATGTTAATTAAAATAATATCATGTAAATTACAGAGAATAGTTGTTGTTTTTTTTCGTTTGTGGCTGTAGTTGAGGACATTTCTATAACTTATTCTTATTTCACACTTTTTCGATCTTTCTTTTTTTTTTTTAATTATGTATACCGTCATTAATGAGTAAATGTGGGATTATTTAAAATTATGTAAAATCTAATCTTTAAGATGATTACGCTCCTACAAATAAAGATTTAGCATTCGACTTCAAAGGAGATTTTAAAGTTTTTTAAGAAATCAGGTGGAGTAATATATATCTTATCACTCTTCCACAAAAAAGACATTTTATCCAAATCTGTATGAAGCTGTTTGGGTTTCAGGGTGTGATTTCTCAAATTTCTCTCCCGTTTTGTAAAAAACTTTTTTTTTTTTTGAGTCATAATCTTGAGATGTGGCTTCTTTTGCTCTCAATGTCATGTATTGTACTATGTAGGAAAAATCGGGAACATAGGTATTAGTCAAGGTAATACCGTTTTCCGTAATTTACGTGCAAAAATTATACATCTATTATAATATATGGATATAATAATTAATAATAAACGTTTTTCCATACGTAGGGCATGATATTGCGAACAAAGTAGGCCCATTATCGAGGGTGTGGTACACATACAATTTTTTATTAAAAAATGGTTAACAAATTTTGGATATTTTTTGTGGATTCCCTCATATACGCATTGATACCTATGCATATTCGTACATTAAATTATGCCTACATCCGAAAACCGCTGCTTTTTTTCTGGTACGTCAGGATGAAAAATAATACACTCATTAGATAAGTTTTTAATAATTTCAAATTACTATCTGTAACAAATACTTGCAGGTAAACTTATGAAATGTTTCTTTAAAAATTTGTTTAATACATCATTGAGATGAGAAAACATTTTGTTTCACGTGTATTTTTAAGGATATCATGGAAGATTTTCCGAAAAAGTTATAGAAGAGATTTCAGTATATAATAATAAAAAAAAATATATTTTGCGAAATAAAATGAAATTTCTTCATTCATTTCTTCAATGACTGCAACAAACCATTTTCTTTATAAAAAAGTATGTCCCTTACATCTTTTCACTCTAACAATCAAAACAAACCTAACGACATATCCGTTATCAAAATCCTTGATGTTGTTTAGGATGTAGACTGAATGGTGTAGACATGGGAAACGATATAAAATGTATTAAAAATGTCACATTTAGAAGAGTAAAATGCGCAAAGGCTAGAAATGGTAGTTTTCATCGGATAAGTGCCATCGTCTCTGGGGCTATTTTGCTGCCCGAGGGACGTAAAGTAGCCACGGAGCGATGGCGCTTATGTGGCGAATCCTATTTAACCTACCGAGGGCACACCCGATCCTCAAAAAAGCCCAAGGTAGGAAGATGGTTTTTTCCTGTACTGGAATCGCACTTTGTATGTGCTAAAGATAAAAACTACTGTTTATCATCATTTTTTTAAATCTTTCTCTAAACTGGAAATTTCGATATTTTTTCCATCGTTTACAAAAATCATTTTTTTAAAGAATTGTAGTATAAAAAATTAGATCAATTTGTCCATCGTAGATCGGCTTTAGTCGAATTAATTTTGTTGAATAGGAAATTTCTTGATAATACATGTAAAATATTAAATCACATTTTCAACATTTTTTTATTAAAAAATTAAATTGAATGAAAATATCCGAATAAAGCCCTTAAAACATGTAAAAAAAATAGTGGACATGTTTTTGCAGTACACTTTCTGCCAGGCAATCGATTGATTATCATAATCATACAAACAGTTTGTAAAATCGATTTTTTTTTTACAATCGAAATATATTCTGAACGATTTTTTTTTACTGTCAAACCAACTCTCAATTATTTTTTCCAACGATACTATAATACTCGGACCAACCTTGTAATTCTCCACCTATTCGAGGACACGTATAGTTTCATACATTAAATATGAAATGCACTATATTATTTACCATTGCGAAACACACCTCGTGATATAAAAATAAAAAGTGCATGTTGTGCACAAAAAATATATTGTTTGGGCCAAGCACGGTTCCATCTACTCAAAAATATTAATTTGATAGGCCAACGAATGAATTTCATTGTGCGTTATCCAACCGAAATTCAATTACTCAATTTTCGCCATTCTATACGAAAATATTTAAAAATAAAGTATACGTAAAAAATTAAATTTCAAACAATCGTGACCGATGTTAAGTGCAAAAAAACAAGGTTTTCTCAACAATCAATACGTATACGAGCAATTAGCTGGGGAAATCATCGATACTCGGGTCATAGCGCGACAAAACCTTGACCGTTACCATGTAAAGCCGTGCGCCCGAACTTACAAACAGGCACAAGGTAAACATTTGCCGTGAGGTTACTTTCAAGGTATTTATGAGAGACATGACAAAAAATAGGGACATAAATATAATTCATATAAATCTGATCCCCCCCCCCACATTCTATTTCTATAAGCCAAAAATAGTAACGACGTGCAACGAAAACAGGAATCGCTGAGCGCGTCGCTGATTCGCGTGAGTCTCGACACGTCGGTCTCGTTCATCGATAATCCCAGGGGTAAAGCCTGCACCGAGGTCGTGGCCTGCACCGCACTGGTGGGCAGGAGGAGGATCGGACACGTAGAGGCCGACGACGACGACAGCACGACGGCCGGCAGTCAGTCATTACCGGTGGTGGGCTGCAAGTCACGCTCGAAGATCGCGTGTTACTCGCCAACTCGACTGTTCGCAGCGTGCGGTGGACGCAAGCCGCCAGACGCGCCGGTCCCGGGTAGGTTCGACGACGCCGGTCACGAGGCCAAAAAACTCGACGACAACAACAACAGCAACAGAACAAAGGTATGGGTATTATACTTATACGCCTTTCGAGTTCCTTTTTTTTTTTTTAGAGTTGAAATTTTTTTTCTCCCGGTGGGGTTATTGCACCTATGATTCGAGAATATGTTTGAGCAGCGTGGATTTTTTTATCAATTTATACTGATTACTGATGATTGTATACAAACAGGTACCCTGAGTTCTTTGGAATCAGAAAAAATGCACGCTCTTAATTTTTCTTTTTTTTTTTTTTTTTTTTTTTTTACAATACGCATTAGTGCCAAGGTCGAAAAAGATCTTTCTGAATCCTTGTTTTCTGTTTCGGTTAAAAAAACATTCGGGATGCTAATCGGATGTAGCCTCTAAAACTGCTTTTGCAACTGTTTGCATACAATACATATACATACATAAATATATACAAAAATTTTGTGCATACACCCTTCCGATCTTTAATTTTTATGGATTTACTCTTATCAGAAACGGAAATATAATTTTCATCATGAAAAAGCCCAATAGTGTCATATTATGTTTTCATATTTAATACTTTATTTTTAAACTTTTTGAATGAAAATCATGCATTTTTCAAAAAAAAAATGATAAAATTCGAGTGTTTTTTACTTAGCCCGTGATACACAAATAGTTTTACGCGTAACGATGGATAAAAGTCAAAAATATCCACTCTATTCTCCACAGAGGTCTTGACAACAATTGTTTATCGATACTTCTTTCAGAGATAATAAATACTATTGCTTCCTTACAGAGGAAGTTTGTAATAGACAAAGCATCTTGTATTGAGATTTTAAAGTCGACGTACGGAAATTCCCATTTGCATACCTATGTGCAATTTTTTTTTTTTTACTTTTTTTTATGTTTAACCGTTGTCTTTTGATACTTTACTTTAAAAAACCGAAAAATGGTATACAATTTTCTATAAAAGTACCTATTTAGTTTAAAATAAAAAAAAAATTCTGTGAGTGTGTATGAATGTATGTTCGACTATATAGAAACAGCCTAAAATATTTACATAAAAAATTAACGAAAACTTTGTAAAGGAGTTTTAGTACCAATAAGTTGGCAGCAATTTTTTCTTTGTTTTTAGGAGTAAAGTTCCTCACCCACTCTCCAACTCCCCATAAGTCATTTTATCAATGTCTGCGTGTTTGCCACCCTAACCCTCGGCACGAGCAGTAATTAGTATCTGTGATTCAAAATAAGCCTCGATAGCCCATAGTGAGGCAGTATACTATTTATCGATCAAGGAGTTTATACCTACTGAATAAATTTACCCCCAAACAGGACAACAGCATGAAACAGCGTTACTCAACTTGGCTCTACTTTTTTTAGTACCTTAGTCACAAACCTGTTTAAGTACATATTTTGAAAAAAAGTGAATCTTTTTTCATCGAAAATTTTATTGAAAATTACGAGACTATTATCATAGGAAAAAAGATGCAAAAAATATAGTGCTACTAGCGGCCCCCCGTCTCGGCTTCGCCCGAGACTCACTATAAATGGAACACCGTAGTGAGTTGACATGTGATGTAAAAAGTTTTCAGTTAAAAATTTTACATTTATTTCTGACACTTCTCAGAACAAAAATCTTTTTATTCAAAACATATGTGTTCAGAATCCATACAGTTTATTTGGTCAAATAATAAGCTATAAAAACTTTTAAAAATATAATTATGCTGAAAAGTACTGTGCGTTCCTTTTGAAATATATCACTAACGTATGCAATAACAAAGTTTAACTTTAAATAACTGACTGTACCAGCATTAAGTCAATAATTCAATATTTCATCAATTTTAAAACTCACAAAAAATATGTAATTAAAAAAAAATGTTTTTCTTATCTCACAACTTTATTACCACAGCAGCAAAGTCCTGGAGCTTAATTTCTACATTTTTTATCGCCACAAAAATACAAATACATATTTTACCTATTTAAAAATCTGGAAGATTCAAGAGATAACTATGAGGGTTATAGTAAAAAGCTTATCTCTCACCTAATAAATTCTTTACTTATCGATTTTGATGCTGCTTTAATCTCGATGAATGTTCAGCGTTATTTTCTTGACACCTAAAATTGTATTCATAAGATGTATTAAATTTTCCTTCCAATTCGACTTTTTGTGACTTTTGACATAGTTGAGACTCTTGTGAGTCCTAAAGGCTATTTTTTTCAACTTTATAAAGTTGTAATACATTTGTTGGCAAGGTAGTTTGACGTCCGATTGCCCTGAAAAGGACCGGTGAGCTTCTTAAGTAAACTCTTTCTTGACTGAAGTTAACAGCAATTGTGACTGCCTGGATACCTTAGGGTGATCTTTTCTGGCCTGCTGTTGAAAACCCAGACTGATCGGGAAAAAAATTACAAAGTCCGAAGCTTCGGAGCTAGTTGTAGAGATCTTTCCTAACGTCTCCTGGTAAAGCGTCGAAGACGTTAGTGTCTAAAGCACCTTTTTTTTGCAGACTCAGTTGTTTTGATGATCTAAGGTGAAGAGATTGGTTCGTGATGCTTGTCCATTGAAGGCTGTCCCGTTGGCTCAATTTTTTTTTCCCTTCATAGCTGTTAGGTTCGCCTAGTGCAGACTTTGTAGAGGATCGGCGATCCCTGATTGAATGCTTTTAGAGTCGAGAGGGTAGTATAGGGTCGTCGGTTACCGGGGATTTCAGCCTTACAACGAACAACTCTACTCGTGACGTCTGCCAGTAAATGACTGACTTGGTTTGATAGTGGCCGGCTTTATGTGGTCTTTTAGTCGACGAATCGTTTCCGGAAATGGTAGTAAACATGTATTTGTTGGCAAGATAGTTTACCGACCTAAAGCGCAAAGCTACCTTATTTTAGCAAAACTTTGAGCTTATTTATCGATATTGTTACTAACTTTTTCAAGAAAAAAACTATGCAAAAACCATCTCATAATCATCAAGAATCAGTATGAAAAATTTCAGTAAAATCAGTTAAGTAGTTTTCGCGGTTAGCGATTATAACGATTTTAGCGACTTTACTTCATATATTAGTAAGATAAGATACGATAAGATTTTCTGGATCAATATTTAAACGGGTAAAAATTCTAAACTCAAAAACAATTCTCAAAAATATTCCAATTTGTTTAATACATGCTAAATTACAAATAATTTTTGAGTAATTCCACAAAACCGATATCGCATTTTTTTTTTATAATCATAGGAATTTGTTAAAAATGTATTTCAGTCATAAAATCATATAGTTATAAAATGTAGGTCCCAAGAATATCTAAAAAATTTTTATAAT